CCCGGAGGGGCCTGGCTTCAGATCGCTGCTCTATGGGACGCCACACAGACACATTCCTGCTTTTTTACATCAATCCGGACGTCTGAATGTGGAGCTCCGACTCTCTAACCGGCCTCCTGCAGCATCCTGAAAAAAACAGGACTCTTTAGAGCTCAGGACTCGTTCTAACTTAGATACAGAAATTATAGCAGCACTTTTTCTCCAATATATTTGACTGAATTTTCTTTTTTTTAACAGCAAACCTTCAGACCTGTATAACCTACACACTTACTGCATTCATTTAGTTCCAACAATTTACAAAACCCTTTAGATTAAGACAGAGAAAAATAACAAGGTGATATATGAATGGAAACTGTGGTCAAGACAGCCATAAACCCTGTAATGCCAAATGTATCATATTTGATTCATACGGTTTCTGAAATGTTCTGCGTCTGACACCTTTTGCATATTTTAAAGGTAAAAACTTTGTTCAAAATCCTATTGTACACAATCAGATACACCTGATAACAGGGGGCAGAAGACTACACAAAAAATAATTTTGACTTGTCGCATAGTAATAAATGATTAATGTAAATAAAAGGGAGGGAATGAGTGGTTGTTGTTTTTGTAAAAAGAAAAAAAAAACTAACTTTTCATTGTTTGTACTTGACCATGTCACGTGAATAAAAACATGAATATTAAAAAAAATTAAATTAAATGTGATGAGATTTGCGTGTGATCCCCCTTAAAACTGTGGGATGTGTGTCACCCTGATCACGCTGGTGGTAATTTAATTAGAGACTGTCTGTGATTAACAGCTGAGGACTTTAAATTTAGCTCCCAGAGTACGCGTTTGTCATGGAAATCTCTGTAAAATCACATCAGAGCATCACCAGTCAACGTGAACATCACCGCTTAATATTCATGCTTTTTGATTGGACAGACATGGATCCTGATTGTCTTTCCTTTTCTGTCCTGGATCTGTGTTCAGATTTCCACCCGGCTGTAAAAGTGGCACACGTGGAGTCTCTGATGTGTCGTTAATCTGATTAAGACGTGACAACAGGGAGGCTGTTCCCCTCTGGAGGGCCTCTGTGGTGGGTCTCACGCCATAAAAAAGCCACATCCGCGCACGTTTCCGAGGATCAAGAAGAATCCCAGACGAAAGGGCGGCCAGACACACTCAGACTGGCTTCGTTTGCCAGTTTGGAGAAGCATTTGTTACAAACTTTTGCTTTCTAGACCAAAAACAAAAGCCCAGATTGGATGGAGACCAAGAGAAGTGATGTGGAAATGTCATAAAGTGAAATTTAATTTACAATTCAGCACATACAACACAAACAATTAACAAAAACCTTCATAAAATGAGCTAATTTCACTTCTTAGCATCCCCTCTATGGTTACATATGTATATATTTATATATATTTATATATTTATATTCTGTGTGGAATTTTGTGTATATATATAGATAGATAGATAGATAGATAGATAGATAGATAGATAGATAGATAGATAGATAGATAGATAGATAGATAGATAGATAGATAGATAGATAGATAGATAGATAGATAGATAGATAGATAGATAGATAGATAGATAGACCTGTAAGACATGTTTCTGCCATCAGATTAAGTTAATTTAGTGTTAAACGTCTGACTTTCATCTCTTTATATGTTGTGATTTCCTCAATATTTGTGTTTTAGTCTGGTGGTTTTGGGTTAAAGGAATGGGTTTGAAACAGAATAACAAAGACAAATCCACCTGACAGATGCTATTATTTTCTCTTGAAGTGGTTTATGTTAATGAAGCCCTCATTTTATGCAACATTAACCTCCCAAACACACACACACACACACT